ATCTATCTATATATAAAAGGAGAAGAAAAAATGACACATGTCAACACCATAAATTTTCAGTATTTTAAATAATTAATAATCAATAATTAAATAAATAAATATAGACACATGTCAATAATTAGAATTAGAACGACACATGTCAACACCACAAAAATAAAATACAAATAAATAAATAATTTTTTTAACTATCTTTCCACAACCTCCTTATTTATAGCAAAAAAATGTAGATGATAATAATAATAAATTTTCAATTTTTTAAAAATCATTTCATTAAATAGTAAAATATCTTTATTATTTTTTAAAATAATTTTGAAGTAGTTTTTACAAATAAACGAGAAATAATTTTAAAAAAATTCTTTTTTTTCCTCAAATGAAAAATTGGTTACTATTCTTTGAATTTGAATTTTAAATTTACTGTTTTGAAATAAAAACATTTAAAATAATAAAAAAAGTAAACTGAAATTTTCGATAAGTACGTTAAGGATCCTATTTTTTGGGGAAATTATCAAATGTTTTATACTAAATATTTAAAATAATTTTCCACAACTACTCCTTTGTAGCAAACAGAATGCAAATTGCTTACACTAATTTCTTAAGCATAAAAATAAATTAATAGCAAGAATCGGACTCATTTTATAATGCAATTTTTTTGATAGAATAAAATTATTTATTTCATACTTTTATGTAGATTGTTGTCACATTTAAATTGTTTTCTTTAGTTTTAAATTTTTCAAATACAAAATATTTTATCAAATTAATTACTGCTAATAAAATATGAAATATATAGAGATTATATAACAAAAAAGATTTAAAATAGGGTAATGCAGTTACAAAACGAAAAAAAAAAGAATTTTTAATTATTGAAATAAAATAAAATAAATTAAAAAATAAAAATATAAGACAATTAGATAACCAGCATAACTCTCCCACTTCCGCTATATGCTCTCTCAGAGAAGTTTTTTTTTCTACCCTTTCTCCACTGATATACGTTTATATATTTCATAACCATGCAAACAATTTGTTCATTCGTAGACAATGTTTCCATGCCAATAATATGCATACAATCTTTTTACTCATTGATTTCAATGCGTATTTTATTTTTTATTTGAAAAATTTAAGAATTGGCAATTAGTGATTGATTTTGTATTTTGTGTTACTTTGATTTATTTTTTATATGATTTTATCAAAGATAAAGAATGAACGGGAAAATCTCAAAATCAACTGCTCAGTTATTTTTTGTTGAGAACCCCAAAGAACTTCTCAAATTTGTGGATGTCTTTCTCTTTGATTGCGATGGTAAGAGAGAAATCACTTTGTATTTTTACTTTTCATATCATGTAGTTTCATATAAGATTTTTTCTTCTTTTTCTATTTGAACATGTTTGAAGAAAATTTTATCGAATATTAATTATGTAAAAAAATATAAATTTCTATTTTCGTGAGATTTCACTGAGTATGTTGTTATTGTTGTTGCACTTGGCTTCTTTATGCACATCAATTGTATCAGATAATTTATACACATGATTTTAAATATAAATATAAAAATATTTACTAATAAATAATAAAGTACAATGTGTTTAGTGTTAATAATGTTAAATTTTTAAATCATCTTTATTGTGAAGCATGACCAATAACGACTTTGGGTCTGATCAATAGCTATTAGTGTTAATTATTTATGTATTTTAATAATAAATGCCTTTATTTGATGTGATTATGGAATCAAATTATCTTTAAAACTCTTAATATGACGTTATCCATAGGATTTCCAAATAAAATGATGTTATGAATCAATTTTAGTCAAGTGCTCTTTATTTTTATTTAGTATGTTGGAGGACTTATGAAATGACAGAAAATCTATCAAGAAATGACAAAAAAGTATTGGTATAAAATCTATTGTCATTAAATTTGTAGTATAATTATTATTTTTATGAGAACTTATAAATATAATAGTACATAAACTGCATAATTTCTTTTATCCTTATAATATAAAAGGATAAGAATTATTTTTATTTGAATTGGAGATGAGGTAATTTTTTTAGTTAATTAAAATAACAAAAGTTATATGTGCGCGGTTAGTTTTTTTTTTTTTTTTTTTTTTATTTATACAGAACCTTTTTGAATGTGCAATGTTGACTTTTTTAAAAGTTATTTATAAAACATATAAGATTAATTAAAAGATGAAGATTTAAAATTTATAGTTTTGAAGATGGTTATAACTTCACACTTTCTATAATGTAGATTTTTAGCAAATAGTAATGTGACAAGTGTCGCGCTCATTTAAAATATATTAATCCTCATTACATCTTCAAATTGAGTTATTATAATATCATAATTTTTTTTCCTGAAGATTGGAAAGGTAAAAGAAACAACCCAACACTTAATAGACAAATTTAAAAAATTAATAGAAAATGAATTAATTTTTACCAAAATTTCTATGTCTAAGCTATTTTTTAAAATTTCATCTAGATATCTGTTTGGGTGTATTTTGTTTAATATTAACTAATTTTTGAAATGATTACAACTTCCCCAATTAGCGATTTATATGCTAAAAATGAAAGAAAAATGAGAGTACATGAAAAGTCTAATTAATAACTATTACTAATTTACTAATGGTTATTTATGAATTTCAATGATAAATGTCTTTATTTGATGTAGCTATTGAATAAAATTATCCTTAAAAATTCTAATATTACTTGATTAACAAGATTTTAAAATAAATTGATGCTAGGAATCAATTAGAATAGAGTGATCTTTAGTTTCACTTAATATGTGGGAGGACACATGACACAACTTTAAATACTTCAATAAAAAACAAAAAAAATTATCAACATAAAATCTATTGTCATTAGATTTGTAGTTTACTTTTATTTTTGTGAGAATTTATTATTATTATTATAGTACATAAAGTGCATAACTTTTTTTTTAATATAAAAGGATAAAAAATATTTGTATTTCAATTGGAGATGAGGAAATATTTTTAAGTTAATTAAAATAACAAATAGTATATGTGGGTGGTTAGTTTTTTCCGAAGATTGGAAAAGAAAAAAACCAATTCAGTACTTGACAGATAATTTTAAGATATTAATAAAAAAAGATGGACTAATTTTTACAGAAACTTTTATCTCTAATCTATTTTTTAAAATATCATAAAGATAACAGTTTGAATGTCTTTTCTTTAAGAATATATCACTAAATTGATTGTTTAGTCACTTATTTTATATGTAAAAATAGCAAAAAAAATAATAATTAATGAGTAGTTTCTGAAATCAATTCTTGAAAAAAAAATATACGAATTCATCGGAAAATTTTGAATATTATTGCATATAACATAGAATCTGACAACAATTTTAGATAGAGAAAATATTTTAAAATATTATTGCATATAACATTAAGTTAATATGATCATATAAATAGTAATAATGTATTATTATAACCTTTTTTAAAAAAAAAATTACCATAATAAATTTTATAAATTATTCTTAATTTAAAAATATCCGCGCATCGCGCGGGCACATATACTAGTAATTTATAAATTCTGAAAAATTTATGGTGCTGACATGTGTCACTTTTTCCTCTCCTATTATATATAGATAGATGTTAATAATTTATAAATTCTAGAAAATTTATGGTGCAGACATGTGTCACTTTTTCCTCTCCTATTATATATAGATAGATTTGGGCAAAAATAACGGATAGATTTTTCTGAATATTATTTTTAATTTTTTTTTTACACAACACTGACTATAAAACAATGAATGTTGTGGTTCAATTTATCAATAAACTCGATAGCAAAAATAATTTTCCGGGGTTTTAGTGCTAAAAGAACTAACAAATTTCTATTATTTTGTGTCGCCATCTAATTAATGCACAAGTTCTTGAGTCATCTAACAACAACATATTCAGTGGAATTCCACAAGTACACAGGTTTGAAGATTCTTTAGTCATCTAAACAACTAGTGAAGTACGGAATAATCAACATAAGAATTTTACCTTGAAAAAACTCGTTGCTCAAAGGAGTAATAAAATCAACGAAAAAAAATTACGACGTATACCTTCGTAAGTGATTAGAACAACAAAATCCGACTCAATAATAACATATTTGTGCCAACTCAAATTCTGACAAGACGTCTATCGAAAATTTGCTATTTAGTGATTAGAACCATAAAAGAAAATATGGTCCAGTGTTTCAATGTCAAAGTGCTACTCTTTAAAAGTCGAAATTTAGAAATTAAAGGTATCTTAATGTGCCATATGTTTAATTAGGCTAATAGGAGTTTGTTCTTGGTCTTTCTCATAGACAGGGGCGGACGTAGAATATCGATATCAGATTCATCTGATTTTAGTAATTTCAATGAAGATTGTAAATTGAATTGGATGTTTCATTTAGGCTATTTCCTACCTTACCCTTTCAATTAATTTAGAAAATACAAACAATAAATATAAACTCAGGGTTCACTCGACGAGTTAGTTTAAGTTGAATATCAATCACATCCTACACCAACTCCATTTAGGTGCCTGACATCCTCTATAACGGACAAGTTTATTTAGGAATCAATTTTTCATGTTATGTGCTATACAACAATCAAAACGTATTTAGATAAACAATGTTGTTAGAGACAAGTTTTTACTGGAATATGAAACTTCTAGTTAGTAAATCAAGACATTTATAACATTTTTGGATACTAAAAGACGCTACCTCTGTTAGAGCATATAATATTACAATAATATACTATAAATTAAATATAGTAAATTCAAACAGCATGATCTGTTTAATTCTTAACCATAAATAATTATTATACGTTGCCATATATAGCTAATTAGGAATATGCAATATATAGTTATTTCATTTAGTCTAATCTGTCAACTTAATTAATAACTAGCGGGACTCTACTAATACAAAATTTCAAATTGATCAATACTATAAATAGAGGTAAAATGTTCATTAGTTTTCTGCAATTATCATAATTCAAATAGTAGTTATATTTAAACAAACAAAAAAAATGGGATCGAAGGCATTTTTGCTAATTGTTTTGGCTATTTTTCTTGTGACAACATCAGAGGTTGCAGCTAGGAAGTTGGCTCAGAGTTCCATCACATCCTTGAAAAAGGGTAAGCTCCCTGCGTCCTATTTTATGTAAAGGTGTTACAGTTTGAAAAGCCAAATTATTTGTCTCATAAATTTTCTTAGAAATATTTGAATCGTTATCTAAATTGACTCGTGATACTTTTCCTTTAATTAAGACCTTAATTTCGTAAATTGAATTGTTCCATTCCCTCCTTAATAAAAGCCTAAATTACCCAACCTTTAGTAACTTAGCCAAGCATGATTCGTCGAAAGTCAATTTGTCTATAAGTTGCACAAAATAAGCCCATGAAAGTATGCCATACGCAAGTAATTTGGTGGGTGAATGACCCGGCCACCGTTTTAATTACTTAGATCATTTTGATTCGTCTTAATTTAGTTCATTTAAAAATTGGGGGCGTATGATAAATATAGGGCCTAAGTTAATCTATGAAAAAACCTTGCAAAAATAATATTTTAAAAAATATATATATTTAATATGTTATATATAGTTTTTTAATAAAGAAGAATTTTCTTTAATAATTTTGTTTGTTATTACAAAAATTATAAGAATTGGAGGAGGACATTAACATGCATGTATGTGTATGATATCTGGTGCAGGAGAGGCAAGTGACAAATTTTTCGGAGGAGAACTTCCAGGATTTGGGGGAGGTTTTCCGGGAATTGGTGGACTTCCCGGAATCGGAGGAGGACTTCCAAAAATTGGAGGACTTCCAACAATAGGAGGACTTCCCGGAATAGGAGGGCTTCCTGGAATCGGAGGAGGATGTCCAAAAATTGGAGGACTTCCAAAAATAGGAGGAGGACTTCCCGGAATCGGAGGACTTCCCGGAATCGGAGAACTTCCAAAAATTGGAGGACTTCCAACAATAGGAGGAGGAGGACTTCCCGGAATCGGAGGACTTCCTGGAATCGGAGAACTTCCAAAAATTGGAGGACTTCCAACAATAGGAGGAGGAGGACTTCCTGGGATAGGAGGACCCTCAGGAATTGGTGGAGGAGGACTTCCAAGAATTGAAGGACTTCCCGGAATCGGAGGACTTCCAGGACTAGGAGGAATTCCTGGAATCGGAGGACTTCCAGAAATTGGAGGAGGAGGAGTTCCCAAAATTGGAGGACCTCTAGGAATTGGAGGAGGAGGATCTCCTGGAATAGGAGGAGGAAAAGGTGGACTTCCAGGATTTGGAGGACTTCCTGGAATCGGAGGACCTTCGGGAATTGGAGGACTCCCCAAAATCGGAGGACCTTCGGGAATTGGAGGAGGAGGACTTCCTAAAATTGGAGGACCTCCGGGAATAGGAGGAGGAAAAGGAGGACTTCCTGGAATCGGAGGACTGCCTGGAATCGGAGGACCTTCAGTAATTGGAGGACTCCCCAAAATCGGAGGACCTTCGGAAATTGGAGGAGGAGGACCTCCAGGAATAGTAGGAGGAAAAGGAGGACTTCTAGGATTTGGAGGACTTCGAGGAATCGGAGGACTTCCAGGATTTGGAGGAATCGGAGGACTTCCAGGAATTGGAGGAAAAGGAGGACTTTTCAAAACCGAAAGACTTCCTTGATCTAATTAATTAATTACTAAAGAATATCTATGAAGAATATCCATTGTGGTTATATATATGTATATAGTGTTTTAGTAGGTAATAGTTTTGTTGTTGAAAGTATGAATAAATGTATACCACAAAAGGTTGTATTGGAGTGATAAGTAATTTTTTATTCTTAATTAGATGTTTCAGACCTGGATATGCATGTAATCACCTTTGATAGGAAGCACTTTACATTCAATGTGTAACTTTATCTATATGAATTCAAATAATTTGGACTCTAATACGGATATCAAACACCATATAGAAAAAAAGTGAAATGTATGGCATTCGTTTACTATGGACGAATGATTATCATATCGTGTTTCTTTATATAAATAATAATTAAATAATATCAGAAAACTTATTACAAGTAATTATCAACCAATTATTTTATGAAATTTATAATTCTTTAAAATAAAATTGTTGACTGCACCAACCAGTTTATCGATCAATCAATTATTTTTAATGAGTTAACCAGAGTTTTAACCAAGAAAACTGGTTTTCTGAATATTATTCTTTATTTAAAAAAAAAAAAAAAAAAAAAAACAGGTTGGATTTATTCGTTCATGAAACAATAAATTTTGCGGTTCGATTTACCCTATAGTAACAAGTATTTTCCCGAATTTTGACGCTAAAATAATCGACTGATATTTGTTGGTTCCTTCATAAACTCAAATTTTACCAAATAAATTTTGAAAAGTATGTCACGTACCATATGTTTAATTTAGTCTAATAAGAGTTTGTTCCATGTCTTTATCATAGACAGGGGAGGACACCGTACTAGATTTATCTTAATTTAGTACTTTTGATATGGATGTAAATTTATGTATAAAATTGTATTAAAAAATAGTTAACAGTAATAAAAATGAATTGGTATCTTTAAAAATATAATTGGATCAATATTCTGAAAAATAGTAAAGAAAAACCACTTTCCAGTTAAAATTATTTTTAGAAATAAGGTGAATTTATTGATGTAAAAATAAGGTACGTAAGTGACTTTAGTTACTTTCACTAAGTTGGTAGAAATTTAATTTACTCCTATTATTCAGTTACGATTTACTACTTTAGTATTTTAGTTTTTCATGTTATGTTATATTATATGTTTTTTATAATAACATTGTGCTATAATAGTTTTAACATATTATCTGAATTGTGAATAATGATAATGTTATAAAGAAGCTCGATAAGTCAAGAAGATTATAACATTTTGAATATAACTAATTCTCAGCCAAATATAATTATATAATTATACTTTGCCATATAAAGATAACTAGGAAAGTGCAATATACAACTAGTCTAATATATAATCTGCCAACTTAACTAATAACTAGTCTGGTACATACATAATCTAACGATGCAACTTTTCAATTTTAGCTCACAAGAAGTTCAAATGATCAATACTATAAATAGAGGCAAAACGTTCATTAGTTTCATACAATTATCATAATTCAAGTAATAGTTATATTTAAGCAAAAAGAATATGGGATTGAAGGCATTTTTACTAATTGTTTTGGCTATTTTTCTTGTGATAACATCAGAGGTTGCAGCTAGGAAGTTGCTTCAGAGATCCATCACTTCCTCGGAAAATGGTATGCTATTTACATCGTAGTTTATATAAAGGTCTTACTGTTTGAAAAGTTAAATTATTTACTTTTTTAATATCAAATATTTTGAATCGTTAAGTAAGTTGACTGATAATACTTTTTGTAATTTTTTTTTAAAAATAAATAAATTAAGGAATCTATGCTCGTTTTCCTTATATGACATAGTAAGTGTTTAGTATATTTCAAAGAGTTTAATTTCCATAATGACACAAGTTTGGGTGGATCCGGCCTTTTAGTAATTTAGCACGTCTTGATCCGTTTAAATTCAATTCATCAAAAAGTTGCAAAATAGAGCCATATCCATGTAATTGGGCCCACCTTTTTAGTAACTTACACTGATCCTCTGATTCAATTCATTTAAAAATTGGACTGGTATGTGATAAGTATAGATATAGCTCGTGAAAAATCTTGTTAAAATAATACTTTTTAGGAGGAGGAGTACTTCCCGTAGTTGGAGGACTTTCAGGAGTAGGAGGAGGACTACTTCCAAATGCCGGAGGACTAATTTCAGGGCTTCCCATAGTCGGAGGACCTTCAGGAGTACTTCCCAAAGTTGGAGGACCTTCAGGAGTAGAAGGAGGATTACTTGGAGACCTAATTTCAGGACTTCCCATAATCGGAGGACTTCCATGAATTGGAAGAGGACTTTTCAGAATCCAAAGACTTCCCAGAGCTAATTAATAAATTACTAAAGACTATTTATGGTGTCTACTTATATATTATGTTGTGTGTTTTAGTAGGTAATAGTTTTGTTATTGGCAGTATGAATAAATGTATACCACCAAGCAGTGGAATGGTAACTAATCTTTTATCTTCAATTAGAGGTTCGAAACCTGGGTAGGAAGTCATCTTTGATAGGGAATGAATGCTTTACTTCCTAAAGTAAAACTTCACTGTCAAAGCGGAGATCAAACCCATGTAGGAAACCCAAATAAAACATATGAATAAATGTATGATAAGTGGCCGTTCATTTACTATATGGATGGTTATCATATCATGTGTCTTTGCATTATATTAATATAATAATATAAATAAATTTAAGGGAAATAATATCAGAGAACTTACTTTCTATACGTCCCTTTTCGTTTACAAGTAATTTTCATTTCTCATCCAAATAGTTACGAAAAAAAATTCAATTGAAGCTATTTTTTTTCCTGTGTATTTAATTATTGTTTTTGTTCCGTTTTACATAATATTCAATTTAACTTAAACTATTTTTTTTAATTTCTCATTCAATATCTAATATTCGTTTTGAGCCCCCCAAAAAATTTAGACATTTGCATGAAGAAAAATCATCATGTAACTACAACGGAAATGAATAACATGATTTACAAGTGAATTGCTTATGAAAAATCCATATATATATATATATATATTGACATCATTAGTTTAAAGAATTTTTGAACGATTTCTACATGTAAGTTTCATCGAAATATGGGATTTTTATGGTCTAATAGACGTCACACATTTCCATTAGTTTACCAAAGAAAGAGACAAAAACATTTAGATAAAATATCTATTGGATTAAAATTTCTCATCTAAAATGACTCACATATCATTTATACACAATATGACCATTCAGCCCCTATCTTCAACCAATAAAGTGCATAATCATTTTTTTTCTTAATAGTAATAATAAAACAAACGCCATAATCGGATCATTAGCCAACCTCCGATTAAGACGAGATATTACATAAAACTAGTAATTTCAAAGAGTCATAAAAATGGAAAAAAGAGAACCGCAGTGAAGAGCTTCATGACTCAAATTTTTAAATCCTGACTTGTCATAAATGTGTATCATTTCAAGTGAATAATACATCAAAAGGAGTTCATATTTAAAATTTGGGACTTATCAAAAGAAATTTGAGCTAGATGTCCATTGAAATACATCACCGAAGGGCTTCCAAGTTCAAATTTTGAAATTCCACTTGCAACAAATTTGAATCATTTCGTGTGAATAATATATCAAAAGAATCAAAAAATCGAGTGGAGCTCATATAAAAAATTTGAGACTATTTGGAGGAGATTTGTGTTTGTCGGGATTGAAAAAAATAATATAGCTCGTAAGAAAGATAAACTGCTGCAATGTATAAATATTGTATAACAATGTATATAAATGTAAATACATTTACGAACGTGGGTATATATCATATATACATGGTTATACATAATTATTTATACAATATCGATACATTATATAATTTATTTATACAATATCAATATATTAAGTAACTACTTATACAATATTAATACATTATATAATTATTTATACAATATCAATATATTACATATACATATATGATATATACTTACATGAGGAAAGGGACTTCAAGATGAAATAACCCTTCCTTCGTCTAATTAATTATTTTTCACCAGATAGATATGATGCTTTAACATATTTAGGTAATGAAAAAGCATAAAAAATTTGAAGATAAAATATTTTTCAAAGTTAGCCAACTGATCTGGAAGCACACCCACTCATAAACACTATTAAAAACAAAAGTAGATCTACCATAGTCGAAAATGGTGGATTTTCAATAAAAATTGATAGATTTGAGTTTCAAAAATCTCAATACTAAAAGTCGAACAATTCCATTATTTAATTTTTCAGTAAAATTATTTTTAAAAATTACAAAAATCAATCAAGATGATTTTCTTAAATTATACAATTATAAAATGCACTAAATGAAAATCAAATTGAGGTTTGTATCGTGGTAGGGTTTAGGGATACTGTACTAGCATTAAACCACCCGTCACTTGTAACACCTCAGGTTATTACGGTTATCTTTTGTTTCGTATAAAAGTTTTACGAGCCTTAATTTGAGAATTCTATTATAACTCCGCACATTATTTGATAACATCGTATTTTAATTGAAATAAAAAATTATACATAAAATGTGTTAAATATTTGTGGAAAAAAAATTCTTTGATACGATAAGTGTCGATCGCTCCTTTGCCTGGGCAAGATCTGACGACTCCTGCCCAAGGCGGGTTACGAATTCAGATTAGCTACTGTCAAAGAGGCCAGGAACGAGCTTCCGCTTTATCTAAAGAAAAAACCTCTTCCTTTCTCTCTTCCTGATCAGTGGATGAGTCGCTAGTTCAACTATCCCTCGGAGACAGGGTCGAGAAGTACCATGCATGGTTGCCCCCCGTCCTTTCATTCTATTAGTCTCACCCAGCAAGTCACCCCAACCCTACAGCCAAAAAAGGTAAGCGCCTAGCGCGAGCCTTATTTATTAGTTTAGTAAAGTCAAGCTTTGGCTCCATAAAGACTAAAGAAATGGATAAAAAAAAGGGGGGGACTTATGCATTTATTTTATAAGACTTTTTTTTTATCAATTAATAATATTTTAACAGAAATAGTAAGTCTAGTTATGTCAAAAAACTAACTACTATTATATGAGGTAGACTTTATTTGAAATAATTTTCTCTTAATTGTGATATATTCAAAAATTATATATATTTTATCACGAATCTACACAATAGCTGAATACTTATTTAACGGAATAAACTTAGTTTGGGTGTTGTAACCTCCACTGTCCACGTGGAAGTGGAGGAAGGTGTTATACAAAAGTGATTATGGGATTATGAGAACAAGAGTACCCACGGGCCAAGATTGGCAACATGATTATGGCAAGTGCTTTTCCTTGTGTGGATCCTATTTCAATGGGAACTTGATGAGTCGATCCACCTACACGTCTTGCTTTTACTATTATATCGAGAGTTACTCCACGTATTGCTTGACGTAAAACGGATAGTGGATTTGTTTCTGTCTTTTGTTGAATCTTTTTCACGGCTCGATAGATAATTTGATAAGCCAATGATTTTTATGGGGCCTATTGCCTATATTTATTCGGATGAGACACCGATGGCCACAAGTTGGCGGATATGATGTCGAGCTACCGAAAAGCATCACCATTGCTAGCATTTGGTTGGGTATGTCATGCATGTGCATCTATATATATATATATATATATATATATATATATATATTCACGACATACGATTACTCGAGCATACCATGCATATTTTACTATTACGATGTCAGATGTCGACCATGAAGGTTATTTGAGTTTCAGTTTCAGGTGGTATCTCTATTACCCTTTTTACATCAACTATTTATGATTCTACTTACTGCCTTACATATAAGTACATTTCACTCGTACTGAGGTCTCATTGCCTAGAGATGCTGCATTCGTGATGCAGGTTCATATAGTGTATAGGATGAAAAATATATGTATTTGTATTTGTATATACAGTTTTCTCTCGCTTTATACAAACACAAACACATTTTATACATTTGTGTTTGTATAAAGTGAGAGAGGCGAGGGAGAGAGTGGAGAGCGAGAAATGGAGAGTGGCAAGCGAGAAATCTGAGTAGAGAGGTGAATGCCAACTGTTTGCTACGAGTTACAATTAAATCAAACTGTGGTTATAGCATTTAATTTGAATTAATAATTTGCTATTTTATACAATTTTCTCATTAATTTAACGTAAATAATAGAGCTAAAGACCTGAAATCTTTGTATCTAATTATAAACCTCAAAAAAAATATTTCCCCATTTAATAAGCTACACCAAAAATCTTAAAGATAAATAATTAATTATAATAATTAAAAAAAAATTAGTCCAATTTCCTTCTTTTGCATTACCATTACTAACAAAAAGTGATTTTTTTGATGGTACATCTATTTAAAAAAAATTGCTATTTGGTTCTTTTTTTTCCACACTCCAACTCAAGAGAAATAATAATATTTTTATTTACCGTCCAATGTTTCTGAAACTTTCAATCTATTAATCGATGATGAATATGATATTTTAGTGAATATAACTATAAAAGGTAAGGTTCAGTATTTCATATTTTCATTAATGTCAAAAGAACAACATTAAGGTGGTCCAAATAGCCCCAACATTCTGATAATATTATCAGTGGAAAATTAGCTCTAAAAGTCTTATCATAGAAATTTAGAAAGTTATCTTATT